TTATATTTTATGTTCATTTCATGGTGGATTTCGTATCGATTCGCATCTGATTCAAATTTACAGGAAAAATTTCCCCTTATTGTTTTGAACATTTTTTCCTTCTGCAGGGTAGGCGTGGGGCAAGGTACATGGTCCCCCAACAATGGCATCAGATCGACGGCGAGGCTGATGGAAGGCATCGACTGCCGGCGGCCCGTGTTCAGGTGTATTTTCGCTGATGGAAGGCATCGACTCGCACCATCCTCCCCGATCGAGCTCGGGCCGTGGTCCCGAACCGAGCACCATTTGAGGCTATAAACGAGTAAAACGGTTGAACTCTGGGCGAGAATGGGCCAGATGGAGAAATACAAGTGAAAGGTATGGGGTGTGGGGTTGAAATTGAAGACGAGTCGTTTGAGTTCGGGGAAACCGAGACAAGGCGTCTCAATGGCTTCAATTCTACACTAGATTTGTCGATTGAGCTTGGTGAAGGATTTGGCTGAGAACCTAACCCTTGAGCCATTTTTTAGTGTATGTATAATATACTTACAGTATATCTACAGTATATATTCACGATAGTATATGTTGCGTGTATTGGCATGCAATATATGTTCACAACAATATATGTTGTGTGTATATACAAGCAATATATGTGGTGTGTATGGGGAGTATATGTTCAGTATATTAGAAGATTTTTTTGTAAGGCAGTGTATGTGGTGTGTATAGTGAGTATATGTTCAATATATTAAAAGATTTTTTTGTAAAGGGTTCAGCATATGTTGTGTGTATATATTAGAAGATTTTTTTGCATAGGAAATATAAGTAGCATGTTATAATTATAAAGTATATATATACTTTTATGTAAAAAAAAACAAAAAAAAAACAAAAAAAAAACAAGAAGACATATTTTTTTATGTAATACATGTTTTTCATTGTAACATAAACTGAATATATACTAACGTAAATGCAACATATACTTACCTGGACAGCTGCGTAAATTACATTACATGTTTTTATCTCTCTATTAAAAATGTAAACGAATTAAAGGAGTTAGTTAAATGTAACTGAATTTTAGGAAAGTGAATTTTGTTTGGAAATGCTGGAAATCATGAGCCCACTTTTTAGGTAACTGATTTTTAGGTACTAATGTAATTAAATCTTGACAATTAGGTAGAAACACAATTACTTATTGATGAATGGTAAATTTGCAAAATTTTTAATTTCATGTAGGATAAGTAAAAATTTCTCATCCAAGTATCCATTATCTTAGGCAAACAAACCTTGGCGGTCCTCCTCCGACAAATCATAGAGATCTCCCCCCTGGTCAGCAATCACATCCTCTATGACGATTTCCTTTGTTTGATCCACCTTCTCTAATGAACCATCTTGGACACCGGTCTCCAATTCTACAATCTGGAGGAGTAGAAGGACGATCACAGATTGGACATCCTTCTATTCACAGCTTCGACCCTCATGCGAATCCAAATGACTCACCTGATGGACACTTCGGGCAAATCCTTCATGTTTGTGGTGTTTTTGTGGTGTTTTTGTGTGTTTTCGTGTCTTAGTCGAGTATTTTTAGGTTCGTTTTAGTGTTAACCGATCAATTTTATCGTGTTTCGTGTATTTTTTTCTCACGTCCTGTATTTTTTTTCGACATATTTTTACGTCTCTTTTGGTGTTGATAAGGCAAGGTTTTCAAAACCGAACCGGTCATCGAGCCGGTGAAGCTACCGGTTCGAACCAAGGCAATGGTCGAACCGGTCGAACCGGTTTAATTAATATTTAATTTTTAATTTATTTTATATTTATTATATATTATTGCATATATTTTTATGATTAATTTTATAGTGTAAGATGATATTTCTCTACCCACAAAATAATTGTATATATATTTTATTATTAGTTTAATATGTATAATATATAATTGTACATTTTTATCATTATCAGAGTAAACATTAAAGTTTAAATTTATTATGTAAAATTTGTATTTGTTTTGTAAATTTTAAATTTATAATAATAATATAATATATCTTTTAGTAAAATTTTGCATTTTGCATTTTAAAAAAGTTTGGACTACGTATTATGTTAAACATTATGTTTCATTTAGTTTATGGGCTTTCGGTATTTGAATATTGAAGACATTTGCACAGTTGCACTCTACATATATATAAGAGGAATTTGCACTCCTTACTTAAAGTTATGATTTTTATTGTATTTATACATTCCTTATATTCTTATTTATAAAATTACCTAAACAAGTTAAAAATATATCAGTTATACCTAAATGTAACTGTTACCTTTTTTTGTGGCTTATTAAATGGTAATGAATCCCTTAATTATAATTAAATGTACACTTTATCTTTCTCCCTCCCCCTCTCTCTTCATCTTCTCTTTCCCTTCCCCCTCTCTCTCCTTCTTGTTTTGGGCGGTGAAAATTGGAAAAAAAAAAAAATGCAGAAATGCACACACTCCACTCACATGGCGCTCCCCTTTCTACTTCAATATTCCCAAATTATTAACCAATTTCAAGC